TACATATTAGGGGATAAAGAAAGGTTGGAAAACGTCGCGTAAAAATGAATGATGACTGTTTTCAGTCAATAAAATCGCGCAAATACCAGTACGTGGATCTCAAAGGGAGAAATCAAATAAAATACAGGAAAACTGTAGTATGTGGTCTCTTCAAAGACATTAACATCGAAAAGTGAAGGCATTTTCCAGAAGAATGGATGCAGTTGCTCATAAACTCAATCGCTTGGCCATTTTCAAGGAATGTGGGCTTACTATTTAAATACTACTCAGAGAAAAAGTACCTGGTCTGCTCCATATTTCTTTCTTCCATTGGTTTCAGAGTGCGGTGGAGTTGGACAGATGTTGCACCGAAATCTCTGCTCGGTGTCCGCCCTGTCACTACCTCTTTGAGGTCTTTGTTTGCTGAAAAGAAAAACAACACAGAAAAGTATGTAACTAGGATTTCTTTCATATAATCAGTTTCCAAACTCCCAGTGCACCCCTCTACTCCACCCCTAGTCAAGCCATCAATGCATGTACTGTAACGGTTAATGAAGATTACGTTAAATCAGCCTGACTGAAGAGTTGTAAAAGATAACTGGTAGATAAAGATTACTGAGACTGTATAAGAAAAGAAAAGGCAGAAAAGTGGAGGTTTTGCGCAGCTTTCCTGTTTATCTATATAAGAAGGGCGATGCCAACCAGCGCACGAGCCAAACTACTGGAGCACACCCCAGATAGGGAGCAGGTCAAGCAGCAGCTCAGTTTTATGTGGATGGAGAAACTCACGGCCTTTGCATGCTGTCGCGTACATTAGACAACAAAAGCACCTGTGTCTGACCAAGGCTCGTCCAGCTGAGTGTGTGCTGTCCCCTTAAGTACGCTTGGAGCTCTTTAGAAGTTACATTAATGAAGAAAAACAGTCTGAATTGAGAGTTTCAGGTATGGCTGCCATATTTGTGAGAAAACACACTTTGGAAAAATTTCTCAATGCATCTGGCCTGACCTGATCAAATACGTTCATGCAAGACTGCAAGGGCATGTAGAGCCAGCCTGTCCACACTCTCAGAAAGAAAGGCTAGTGAACGGTCACTGTGGTGGCACCCTCAATATATTTTAGGTTGTATTAAGCTGACTCCACATATACTGTCTTGTCTCCAGCTTTTTTTATTGTTCTGTTATGAAACACTAAAGTATGAAAAGGTACAAATAGTATATTTCTCCTGGGGAAGACATATCTAAAGTATACCATTTCACTTTTAACAGTTTAAAAATGGTTGGCTCTAAAACCGCTGTGGTACCTTTGAGGGGGCGTTTACATTTACATTGTTTGTACCTTGATAATTGAAAAATGTGCCTGCACAGAACCTTGTTTTCTGACAGTCTAGGCCTTAACCACTGAGGGACAGAATGAAGCGGAAAAATGACCAGAAGAGGCCAGAAATGACATGCAGTCTTCCAAATCGACGCTGCGTTTACATCAACTACATACTCCCCAAGACGCGAATTTGTGAATAAATAACCTTGCACACAAATTCGGATCTACAGGGTATATATAGATGACAGATAATCTCCAGTCATGTGACTGATATGGGCTACAAAAGTGACCAGAGCAAAATATGTCCGAGTCTGACCTGCCAAGCTGACAAAACGTCACAGGCTTCTGTAACAGTGCACATGAGTGCACCTAAGCCTAGATGGTCAGAGATAATCTTTCCCCCTAAAACAGGCTCTCAGACCACATCAGTGGGCCTTAACTAAAAACAGCTAGTAAGGGTCTCGGCGCAGCGCTGTGCTGTTCAGGCTATTTCGCTGCTTCTAATGAATACAGTCTTATTCCGTGCAGCGCGTCTTCTGTTTCTGATCAATACAGACAAAAAACTACTGCCCATATATTAAATATATTAGATTACGAGGCCGTAAACGAATTAAAGCAAACTTACATTTTTCCCTTTCACTCTTTCTTTGTCCTGCGCGCGCGATCCCATTCATTTTTCTCCATCTTATCTCTGGGCTCGTCACCGCTCAAATCGTAAATCCGTCTGTAAAACTGTACTGGCTTACAGGCTGTGATTGCTTCTTCCTCGACGCACCGCTCCGTGTTCATGCAACTGGGATACAAACCGAGCTGCTTTCGAGATAGCAGAGAACCTTTTGGACGCATTACAATCGATTGAGAATGAAAAATTAAAGATAAGCCTGAGCGCGACATCATTGATCAACTGCATTAGGCATCCTGCTGCCGCACCCTGCTATTACTTATACAAGCTCCATACAAACAAACACGGAGCACAGGGCATTATTATTATTATTATTATTATTATTATTATTATTACATCAGATTTTCCTATCTGATGGACTCCAGATTATATAAAATAAAAGTTCCTAATTTTGGGACTGAGAAAGCTTTAGTTGGATAGGCCACTGAAAAAAAAACTGTGCTTCAAATTTGCATTATGCAAATGTGTTCCATGCTAATAAAATGTTGCACAAATCAGTTGAGTGCTAATAAAATGTGCTACGTCAGCACAATTCTTGCCCCAAAAAAGTAAGTGTGCTGAACTTATTTTATTTATGTTTTTGCGTCGTGTAAATTCTATGCTCTGTTTTTCACTGCACTTCCAAAACAACAACAACATCCTGGTTTAGCTGTTAAGAGAAACAGCTGTATAATTACGCTATATTATTTGTAACACGCTTGATGATGCTTCACAGTTGTGCATAATATTTTCCCACGTTTTGCAATGAATTTGCTGCTCTCCAAGCGTTTCCTGCTCCAGCGTGGGCATCTGTGTTGTGACCTGCCATAAAGTGAGAATCGTGCCGTCGCTGTGTGACCTCAGGATGAACTCAGATCCCATTAAACACTCGCAGAGCAGCGTGGCTCAGGCCGGGTCATTAGCTTAAGGGTGTTTTTTGAAGGGAAAAGCAGGCAGTGTAAGTCAGTGTCATATATATTCTCCGTTTATTTCGTTAGTGGTGGGAACACTGAGGTTCTGCCATTGTTCAGATTGCGTGTCCAGTCTATATAAACGGGCTACAGCTCGAGAGCAGTTTTGTAAGGGTATCTAGACGTGTGTGTAGGTGCTGGGTGTTCATTCCCAGCCTTGTAGCTGCAGCATAGAGCTCCATGTTCGAGTGGCGCTGGGCTGATGAAGGACAGACGGCCGAGGAGCTCGGAGTAAGGCGGGCTCTGCTGGCCACGGAGCAGCGTTACAGCAAACACGACCACCAACTCAGTCTAGAGCTTACACCTGATTTTCACTCGATGTGGGTTGTAATAGGTACAACACGAAATGTTCGGGGGTGAGAATTAACATAAAATATTTTGCGTCCATGCAACGAATTTGGTCTCGTTATAGAGTCTCCCAAATATGGGCTGTATATATATATAAATATGGACAATATTACAGTAGAAGAAATCAGAGGTCTATAATGACCTTTAGTCTCAGTGTAATGTAATGTAGTGTAATCTAGTGTCTGTGTTTTTGGAGGCTGCAGAGCTCGTCCTGGCAGCTTGGCACGGAGCTGGTGGTGAGCTCTGGTAAGGCATGTGTTCAGCACTAGTCTCCTGACCTCGCAGTGATCCCTTCCCAATGAATAATTGATGAGAACAGCGCACAGATTACCCCTATCAATATGCAAAACACATTATAGTAGTACAATGAGACTTTAATAGTCATGAATCGTGCAACCGCGTGCATTGCAAGAATTTGCTGCGATTACATCATGTTTTTACTTCCATTCAAATTGATCAGGTTCTCTATCAGGCTGTCTGAATTTCCAAAAATAAATAAACAAATATTTATTTTAAGTTTCCTCAGTGATCTATTATTGCATTTATTTATTTCGTTTTGCTTTTTTGTTTGTTTATTTGTGTTTTTTAGAAAAAAACACGTTTTCCACAGACAAATCCACAACTCGTTAAGGACAAATCTACCACTTCTTAATCTGGCATTTAGTGCATGCTTAGAGCTGCTTTTATAAATATGAGAGGACAATATTGGCAAAGCACATCACTCAAAATATTAATACTGCCAACCAACGCAGTGCACTGATAAAGAGAGCATCCACAACACTAAAATACAAGCCCATCGACAAACGAGTAAGCACTGTAGTCCATATCTGACCGTTCAGACAGAAAATATCTGGGCCTCGTTATTACGGTACAAACTGCAGTCCTCTAGGAAAAAAGAGAATTAATTAAATGTACATACAGACAAAAATGAAACTTACTCTGAGTTGTCAGTCTGTCTCTCAGTGTCTCCCAAAGCCATCAGAAATTAAAAATAATAGTAATAACAGTGACTAGCCATGTCAGACTGGCCGAGGTAGCTGGACTACTATAGCACCCCACACGGCGTCCACAACCTTTAGACTCCCGCTGAAGCAGTCAAACCGTCACTTTCATTCAAGAATGTGAATTATGTCGCACATTGTCAACCCCCAAAACCATAAAACTAACTTTATGGACCTCACGTGACTTTTTTAGCGCTACAGAGAATTACAAGGCCATGTTATGGACTGGACTTCGCGAGGAAATCACTGAAGGCTGAGTCTGATATTTCTGATGTAAGATTATTCATGCAGTGTTTATAAGCAGTTCCTAAGAGGCGCAGTTCCACTTGACCATTTGACCATGACGAGGTAAGTTTATAGGTTTAGTCATTATTATACAAGCGCTGTTGAAAAACAGCTTCTTTTTTTCATGTTACAGTTTAATACTCCTTTTTGACATTTTTTACATTTAAAACGGGCTTCTTACAGCAAACGAAACGAAATGAAGCGGCTTTATAAGTCGAAGTTAGGTCGTGAAATCAGCAGTGTTTATGCGTTTAGTCCAGTGTTCCTCAGGCCTGCATCCCTCAGGCTGCAATAGGTTGAAATGCTGAGCAAAACGATAACCATGAGCGCGCGTTCAGTCAAGGGGAGGAGGTTTATAAACTTGACCCGCCAGTTACTGGTGGTCCTAGTGGTCCACCGCGCAAGCAAACACTCAAACCAGAGTAAGACTGAAAGGAACTTTATTTTTCAAATTAGAATGACCAACCTTTTTTTTTCAATCGACACAAATAGAAAAAAAACCCCAGCTGGCAAAATATCCAGCATATCAATGTTAAAACATTTTCCTCGGCTTTTCTTGCGTTTCAACACGGAACATACACCACTCACATAGTACAAATAAAATATTGGACATCAAACATATTTCACCCTTCATGGAACATTTTACGAGCCCCGAAATGTTTAGATGCAACATAAAGTACACAAACGTAGGCTAAGTGCGAATATAGATTACTTCTTTTCTTTTCTTTTTTTTAATATTTTCGCAATGTGACTATCCTATGCAAGAAATGAACTTCATAATAAACGCGGCACAAGCATAAATGTCCTGCAAAAAACTGGAAAACGGTCTACACTGACGTTTCTATACAGGTTTATAAGAGTACAACAAAGTTTTCTTTTTTTCGACTATCGCCTCTGATATAGGTAGTGCGTGTTGTTACTGTACAATATTCCTGTTACAGGTCTGGAGTTGCACACAAAGAGCGTTTACATGGAACATGCTTTCTTCCACGAAAGTATAACCTCGATACGTAGCATTTACACTTATTTCACGGCAGCTGGAAACAGGCTACCAGTAGCCTATAGCCTATATGGGATGAACAATATTCAACGGCTGACAAAAATGTCGTGTTTTACACCAAGTTACACAGAGAAGTCGGATGCCTGATGACGCCAAGCAGGGAAAGAAAAGGTGCAGTGCGATAACAGTAGTCGAATATTTTCAACTATGGTCGAATATGGTCAGTTTTGGAAAGCGCTTCCCGCCGTAGCCAAACTCATGCTTTTCAGCTTATTGTCCTTTTTCCACTTCATCCTCCGATTCTGGAACCAAATTTTAATCTGCCTCTCCGTGAGGCACAGTGCGTGGGCTATCTCTATCCTCCTCCTCCGGGTCAGATACCTATTGAAATGAAACTCTTTCTCCAGCTCTAGCGTTTGGTAGCGAGTGTAGGCAGTTCGAGCTCGTTTCCCATCAGGTCCAGTCATATCTATGGATATGGGTGGGAAAAAAAGAGAAATCAACACCATGAAGATATTATAGGAACCAAGAGAACTGGGTTTGGGACTGCTTCACCATGTACTACACCTACACCAGCATCCAGATCACGGAACTTTGTCTTTCTCCCAAACGCTGTTTGATCTGAGCTGGCTCAGAAAGCTATAGAACTATTTCTGAATTGAAAATATTACCCCCCACCCCCCAACCCTCCACAGATAAATGTTAGAATCGTAAAGGTGAATGACAAAAAAAGCCCAATTACTCAGTTTCTCTCTTGCTGCATCAGATTGTTTATCTAATCCATATCTTTACCATCATTTCGCATCAGTGCTTTTAATGATCGCTTTTATGACTCTCGTTTTACGACTTTTCGATTGGAGAGCAGATTTATTCGAGGCCATTTCGCCGCGCGTAAATCAAAACAGCAGAAATGTTTACTACCGTGACTAATGTGAAGTTTCCTCATCCACGGGAATATCTGTGGCGTTTGCCCGTCGCTGGGCGCCGAGGTGGAGGTGGCCACCGTTTCTTGTTTCTGCGCTCGCGGGTTCGGGTTGCTGGGCTGCGCGCCTTCCTCCGGCTCCGACACCACGCTCGTCTCGTCCGTTTCCACGAAGTGCGCGCTGTTTGTGCCGCCGCCGCCGCCGCCGCCGCCTCCCGTCAGCCTGCCGCTGCCCCCGGTCGCGCTCTGCTCGGAGGAGGGAGAGGAGCCTTTGAGGCTCAGGCTCTCGCTGTTGGCGCACGGCAGCTGCTCCGGAGACGCCAGCGAGCAGCTCGTCTGCCTGTACCGCGCGTCTGCGCCGGGGCTCGGGAAAGCGCGGCCGCTCTCTCCGACGCTGCCGAAATGGGCGTTGTTGTTGCTGGAGCGGTTCACGCTGAGGTCTATTCCATTGTAGGTGTACCCGAAAGAGCCGGGGTGCATGCTCGTGGAGTCCCTGTAAGAGCCGTTCATAGCGCCGTTAGTCCCATAATTTAGTAACTGATAGTCGGAGCCATTTGGATAGCGCCCTGAGAAGGAGTTTAGAAAATAAGAGCTCATTTGGAGATTTCTAAAAAGCCTTTCTTGATGAGCAGGTCTCGGTCGTTAAAATCCCGCGCAGCACAATTTATGATGGAAAAATGAATTATAGCAATGCACTGTACTTCGTTTTTGCCATGTATGCGGCCAAATATGGGAGCGCGTTAGGGCGTCACGTGCCTTTGTTGACCAGTCGTAAATTCTCTCTGATGACTTCAAGAGGTAATTCATGCTCTGTGCTTACAAATGATGACGAAATGATGATCGTTAGATTCAACTCAGCGGTGCCTCCCCGTCGCGCGCCGCATCCCATGTTAGCAGAGGGCGTCACCTACTGGGAGAACTGCAAAATGCCCAAAACACCTGCACAGTCCTGCGCACTTTTCAGCCCTGCATTACGACTTAGACTGCATGCAATGACGCCCCTTTAAAAACGAGAGCAAAATTGTTATATTTAGTTTAATGGTAAGAAATGGAGCGTAAATGCCACTGTGTAATATACAAAAGTCTTAATATCCTTCGTGTAATTCAGGGAAACAGCAAACCTGTCCGAAACAACTTCCAAGCGCAGCAGTTATTATTTCTTCCTATCATTATTTTATAAAAGTAAAGGAAATTATGAAGCGTACATTTTGGTCTTTTCTGGCCTTCATAGATCATTTCTAATATATGCTCATGATTTAAATGCAGATTTTAAGAGAACGTAGGCCTGTTCTGCGTCACAGAGATTCACACAAATCAGCCTACTCAACATTTAATGTAGTCTAGACTGTATTAAAAATGTTAGTTTATGTTATAGCTTATATATTAGTATGTTTTTCGACTCTCCTCAGCACTACTGGCCATTCAACGCACACAAGCGAGCAGATAAACGTGGTTAAACATTTATTTTATTGACAAAAAATGGCATTGCTAACAAAGTTCACTAATGCATTGCTTTTACTGCAACCACATACACAAACGTGACGAACAAAATAAATAAAGTATGAGAGCATTTCAACACAGCAGTTTCAAACATCTCCATGTCCTTAGCCTTCTCTCCCACTTCGCTCTTCAGGTCGCTGTAAAAGCTAGAAGGTGGAAAAACAAGGGTGCTGGAAAAGCAGCCATTCTTTTCCTGTCAGGTGATTAAAACAGACCCAATTCCAAATAATAGTAATAATAACAAAAATAATAATAATACACAATGTTGGTCAAGGTGCCCTGTTCTCTGTCCCCACCGCCTCTACCCTTAGTGAGAATGATAAAGATGCCTGGTTTTAAAGCACAAAGCCGTCAGAAGGTCTCTGCTTGTGGCTTCTCAACACCGCTTTAAACAGGTAGCTGCTTTCTGTTTGGGGTAAATCTGTACATCTACATCAAAATACTACAGGCTACAACACTGTGGGGGGTAAAAATGCTGGACTCGCTTGTTTGTATATTTAGCACAGTGCATATACTGCGGTGCGTTTATCCCGCTTTGCCACCATCCTCCTCTTCGCCGGCCTTTGCAGAGTTCATCACTTTGTTCTCCTTCTTCCACTTCATCCTGCGGTTCTGGAACCAGATCTTTATCTGCCGCTCGGTCAGGCAGAGCGCGTGCGAGATCTCGATTCTACGTCTTCTGGTCAAATATCTGTTGAAGTGAAACTCCTTCTCCAGCTCGAGAGTCTGAAAGCGAGTGTAAGTCTGACGACCCCTGCGGCCGGTGTTTCCAGGCATGCCTGTCAGGAAGGAGAAGACAGCTTTAGGCATGTCCAGATCAGACATCAGATTATTATTATTATTATTATTTTGCTGCAAACAAATTTTTGTGCGCCTTAGCGACCCCAATAAGCTTGGGTGACTGAAATGTTTACAGATTTCATTGACAAAAGAAGTTAATCAAAGAAAATCAAACCATCCACACTCTCCCCTCACTCTCAAAAAACATGGTTCTTCAAGAATTCTTTAGTTCTATTTAGGACCATGAGTTTTACGTAGAACCATATCATGCTTAAATGGTTCTCTGCGTGGTGAAACGGTTCTTCAGGTTGATGGAGAATGTGTTGTATATGGTTCTGTATGGGACCTATTTAAAAATGGTTCTCTGTAGCACCAAAAAGGGTTATTGTATTGTTACGATGTCAAGATTGAAATTTTGAGCATGGAATGGTTATATATAGAACTCATTGCTCTAAATAGAACCGTTCCCTTTACTAAAGAACTCTTGAGGAACCAGTGCAGGCTATAGGTCTGAAAATCAAAGCGCAGGTCAAAACAGAAGCCCAAACTTCAGGGTGCTCGAAACTGCACGTGCTAACAATGTCGTTAAAAAGTGACAGATCTCCAAACGCAGCCTCTGTTTGAGTAGGGATGCTGGTTCTTTATACTGTTTTGGCTCGGAGTCGTTAGAACGACACCACAAGGCTGAGAAGCAGGGCAGACTTACCGTTACACGAGTTCATCCTCTGCATCCACGGGTAGACCGGGGCGCACGGCTTGTCCTCGCTGTAAGAGTATCTGTCTGAGCTCTGCTCGGTGCAGTCCGTCTTGCACTGCTCCTGGCTCAGCACCAGCGAGTCCTCGAGCCCTCCGAGAGCACAAGCGCGGTCGGCGGCGTAGTCGCACGCGCCCGCTCCGTTCCTGCCGAACACTCCCGCAGCCTGCTGGTAGTAGGAGGGCGTGTACACCTTCTCCTGCACATTGGTGGCTCCGAACGCAGCGCTCGGGTAGTGCCTTAAAGAGTCCGTATATCCTGAGGAGTATAACGGGATCTGACCCAAAAAAGACTCCTGTCCCCCGGGCAGAGACACGGGAAAAGTGGAGTTGACGAAGTAGGAACTCATTGGGTGGCCACGGTTCTTGTCCGAGGGTTTATGATTTGTTGTGTTTTATAGTCCAAGTGTGCTTTGCCATTACTTTATCTGAGGTTTGCTTTTAGCCGGAGGGGGGGTGGCGAGGTGCCAATGTGAGCGCGCAGGGAAACGCACCAGCTGATCAGAGTCTGGCCAATCCTGAGCAGCTCTGCTAGAAAAGCATTTAGGGAGGAGAGGGGGGGGGGTCTTGTTGCACGGGATGGAATCCCCAAGGCATAGAAAGCCCTCGAATTTAAGAGTTTCTTACTATTTAACTAATACAGGGAAAATTTTGATGAAAAATACTTGATGTCGCATTAATGAGGCTCAAATTCAAAATTCTGCTTCGATCTGACAAGTTTTACAAGTTTCAGATAATGTCCAGCGAAAGTTTGCGAATATATAGCAATTTTATTTCTCCACTCATAAATAATGACAAAAAATGAAAACAAGGGAATCGCTGTTAATGGACATTGGTGGCGGTGCTCGGACACCGAATCCACGCGTGGACATTTCGCGTCTAAACAAAACAGCTTTCAGGTTTATCAACATGCGCGAGAAAGCACAAAGATCTGATCTCCCTGTTCACTACAAATTTACACGGATATCCTGAATACAGCATTTATATTACATAACACGTCTGCAAACATCAGCCCTCCTTTAGACACTGAATTTTAATAAAAACATCACGAAAACCGTATAAATACAGCTTATAACGAAAAAAACAACTCAGACTCAAACTGCACCTCTAACGAATCAGTAGATTTATATAAAGTTGCCTATATTTTACATCATTCTGCGTACGTTATTTGTTTTTTTCTAGAATGTAAAGAATTGTGGAATTTCAGAATTCTAGGTCAAGTTCTGGGACTTGAAAATAAAATTTGAGGTAGAATGATCTTCGAGCAGACTGGTACACTCAACAGTAAGAGCAGCACTGGCATTGGAATTCGATAGTTTAATCTATTTAGGGATCGTTACGAATAATTTATCATCCAAGTTATACCAGTTGTTCCCCATATGCAGATTTTTTATGTATATATTTGCCTTAAATATCATATCCAAGCAAGCATTTCCTTTAATGTATCACACGGTTTACGTCACCAATGACAAAAAAGAAAGTCTGATCTACTGTAACCTTTGTGATATTTAATGTGGCTGCTTTATTTTTGTCTCACGAGCTTTATTTATTTATTTATTTTATTTAGTCACTAGAGCAAAATTCACAATTGCGTGGCCCACGCTTGTCAAATAAAGCTCTGCACATTTTAATAACAGGCCGTCCCGCAGGACTGGATCTCTTCCCTTTTCACCGCTGTAGCTTTTTCAGATTTCTTTAATGTGTGCGCTACTAAGCGCTGCTGGGCAAATAAAACGTTGTGAATGAGAATAAGTGCGGATTCGTCTGAGGCTCAGACGAGCCAAATAAAACACTCCACCTCGCAGACGCGTTTTCCTGCAACCTGGACAAGACAGCGCTGTGCAAGGTCAGCTAAGTGAAAGAGAAGGAAATTACACTTACATCCATCTAAACGCCACCACCTCCACTCTTTAAAGATGCCTCTTCAAGGGCTCTTTAGCAAAGGGAATGGTGCTATTTAGAACAATGGGTTCTAGTTAAAACCTTTTTCATGCTTAAATATTTCTGTGCGTGGTGAAATGGTTCTTCAGATTTATGGAGAATGTGTACATGGCTGTATGTGGAATCTTTTTAAAATGGTTCTATATAGCACCAAAAAGAGTTGATCTATTGTTGCAAGCTTGACATCGTAACAATAGCAGAACCCTTTTATGTGCTATGTAGAACCATATACAACACTTTCTCCATCAATTTGAAGAACGATTTCTCCATGCAAAGAACCATTTATAACCATTTATGACATGGTTATATATAGAGCTCATGGTTCTAAGTAGAACTATTGAAGAACCATATTTTTTAAATGTGTTTAGCTGTGAGGCATGAAGAAGTGTGCGTGTAGAGGAGGCACTAACACAGTCTGTGCATGTGGGGCCTAAAGTCAGATCACACAAAAACACAGGCTGCGGCCGAGTAGGTGAGAAAAAGCTCCTTTCCTGTCTGCTTTTCTTGATCTGGCCTGATCTGTAGTTCATGGCCTGACTGGACACATCAGCAGAGCTGACTGCTGCGTGGATCCACGTGGCTACAAGATCAGGCAAAACCAGGAAAGTGGACTGTTCGTCTGTTTGGACGCAGCTAAAAGAACCTGTCCATTTGTGTGGGCAGTGTCGTCAGAGGCTCGGTGTCTTCGTCACTAGATGGCATCCCAGAGCAAGAAATGAGGCACACTGCGCCATTACAGGATAAACAGCACCTTTTTAGTAGAGTTAACCCACCGTTCAAACTACACGAACAAAGAGATTCAGCTCGGTTAGAGATTCAGAATCAACCACCAGCTGATCAACGATCAGTCAGCTTTTCAGAACGTAGAAAACAAAACTGGACAGTGAGTCGATTTATGGGAGCCTAAATTCATTAAACTTGTGCATAATGTTAAAACAAAAGATGATCAAACAGCTACCAAGATGGATAATGATTGGGTTCATTTCTGGGATGAGGAGCGCATCCTCAGATACATGGAGCCACAACTGCGGCCATGCTTCATGATGGGTGACCATTATAAATGACCATGAAGAAGCGACCACGATCACTCAGTGGCGTAAAAAAATAAATAAATAAATAAAAACAGCAATTACAAGAGTAGAAAATGGCAAAGACGAAAATATTAATAGGAAAATACACCACCACACAGCAAAGATCAACAAAGCCTCATTCAGGATCATCTAGGCAACGATCCATGTTCAGTTTCTGTGAGGGAAAAAAACACCCACCATTGCGTTCACAAGCGAATTATTTCCAGAACTATTTCATGCTCTGCAGCGTGACCTGACCTACCCAGCATTGTCACCATATTCTCACATGTAGACTTTTCACCACAGTTAAGCTCGCCAGAGAAGATCTGTTTCTGGAGTGTCTAAAAGCACAGCCAGGTCAGAATGACTCTCACTTTACCTTCTGTAGCTCCGTCAGTAAGACACGCACAACCACCAGCACCCAATAAATACACACACATTAGCGTTTATGGAGAAACTCACACTATCAGAGTCACTGCATTCTTGCTTCGGTTAGCGTCCAATGTGTCCACCGTCTTCGCAACAGGCATGTCTGCCCCACAGAGCCTAGCAGGCCCATCATTCTCGCGGCTTACATAAAACACAAACATGCGCGGTGGTTAGCATCAGAGTGAACACAGCCGGGGTCCTACCTTTTCCGTTCATCAGCAGCTCGCAGCACTTTCCAAATTTTTCCATTCGTCAAGCACTGTCGGTCCAGTAAGGTCACCAAAAACGTGAAGTAAACGAAAGCACAGCGCCAGCGAGTTGAGTTTTGATCCATTGACTGTTCTTCTCTGAGAGGGGGATCCACTCTGACACTGCGGTGGAGATGCTGAGGGGCTCCAGCCATCTTCATACCCAGATCGAGCGGTGAAGGTACAGTTTGTGAGACAGAGCTCCACATTAAGGACGAAGAAAGGCGTAAAGAGGAAGGCAGAGGTGTTACTGACTGCGCCCTGACCAAAAGAATGCTGCATTATATCCACTTGGGAAATCATAAAAAGTTCATGTTCACAGGGAGCTGCTCACGTGACCGCGCCCAGCCAATCACAGGCCGGAGCCTCACATAAACTTCTACCACAAAGTTGTAAATTTTCATAAACAACTGGGAGTTTATTGCTTTCTTCCCAGCAGTAGCTCGGTAGGCGCCATCTTTTTTCGTTAAAAAAGGAAAGATGTTTCAATCTGGACACCTTTTACTCCCCCAGTTTTCTCCGTTATCTGTGAAAACGTTCATAATCTGTGATGAGTCATAAACACAGTCGTGTGAAATTTTAAATAAATTTGGTCTTTTAATTTTGGACACTGTCTGGTCTTAGAAATGTCCGACCAGGTGCGGGAATCGAATATTCCTGGAGAGACTTTTCAATATTTTGGAGAAAAACAAAAACAAATGAAGGGCTGATTTCAGAATTGAACTAAGGAACTAAATTTCTCCTTTTGAGCTCTTTTGCCGGATGAGCAGACTAGAACAGACAAACGGACAGTGTAAAAGCTTTTACAGCACTGAACAGGCTCGGCGGAAACAAAGACTTCCTGTAAGAATAAACACTGATTTCCGACATTTATTGGGGCAATAAAACAGAATAACCCAAAAGCGACCTTATAGCCCAGATCCTCCCGAAATCAGGCCACTTCCTTTCGGCCTAAAGACAGCAGAGCCGACTAAAAGCTGAAAACAGGACAGCTACACTGTTTTTATTCAGCGCAGATTCCCCGAACACTGAATGATGAAGGATGAAGTCTGATTTGATGGACAGCTGTAGCGTTTGTACAGCGTGTTCTCGGACTGTACAGACTTCAGCTCAAGCCGTCCACACAAACTGGAAAATTAAACCCCGCTACAGTGTTGAGCAGAGGCTCATTTCGGCCTACAGACGATCCCTCTACACACCACAGAGCCGCGATTTTACTAAACAGAAAAATAAAGGAATGCAGAGATAGAGGTCTATATCAAACACGCCTTTATCGTGTGTTTAGAGAAGTATAGGCTCTATTTCGTTTTTCCTGTATATACATTTCTATAGCTTTTACTGTAGCCTGTTTGCCTTTTTAAATTTATGATCAGCGACCTTTTAAAGTCTGCTCTTATATAGCAGAGCGCGCAGAAACAATGAACACCTATATTAATGCAAAGTCTTTGACTGGAGGTGTAACTTTAATAAAGCACTAACTTTATTCACACAGCTGTGTCCGCGAGAGCTGCATTTACTGATTTATAAAAGCAATTAACAAAAAGCGCCTGTCCGAGTTTTTCAGATGTACAGAATTATTTTTCTGTTGTTGTTATTTTGCTGCTGATGGTGTCTGTAACAAAAATGTGATATAATGTAGGCTGGATTTACCTCCTCAGCTATTTTAGTGTAAAATGTTTGTGTTAAATCGTTTATGTAATGAAAAAGCATCGAATTAAACATACA